GGTCTAAATCACAAACAAAATTTGAATCAAGACCCTTAACTTCTCTCTCAGAGTCACCTAGTAGTATCAATTTCTAAGCTTTTTAATGGGGTTCTGTGCTATAATAAGATCACTTGTTGGGTTTTCTCATTCCTGGCCTAGTTTTCAGCTTTCTTGGGTTTGTCAAATCAGTTTTCATTCATCTATCGGCTTTTTGGTGTCCAGAAAAGTTGTTGCTGTTGTCTCCTTTGCCATTCTTGTTGTTCTCTGAGTTTATGCCATTTTAAAAAATTTCTTTCCTGTCATTTTATTAAGAGTTTCAGGAAAGAGCAGAGGGCAGTGTGTATACTCAAACTGCCCTTCTTAATGCAGATTGATGGTGCCAAATCATACTTCAAAATTGCCCCCCAAACAGTGCAGCACTTTATACTTCTGGCAGCACAGCATGAAACAGCCACTTATTCTTATCAGTACTCCATCTTCTTAAAATTTACCAATTGGGTTAACCTATCTCATTATTTTAATTTGCATTTCCCTGGTTCCTAGTGAGGTTCAGCGTTACCTTATGTGTTTATTGGCCCTTTGTTTTTCCTCTCCTATGAGTAACCTGTTCATATAATTTACCCTTTTTTGTTTGTTTTTGAGATGGGATCTTGCTCTGTCACCCAGGCTGGAGTGCAGTGGCACAATCTCAGCTCACTGCAACCTCTGACCCTGGGTTCAAGCAATTCTCCTGTGTTAGCCTCCCGAGTAGCTGGACTACAGGCGGGCACTGCCACATCCGGCTAATTCATCTGGCTAATTTTTATATTTTTAGTAGAGACAGGGTTTCACCATGTTGGTCCGGCTGGTCTTGAACTCCTGACCTGGTGATCCACCTTCCTCAGCCTCCCAAAGTGCTGGGATTACAGGCATGAGCCACTGTGCCTGGCCCAATTTACCCATTTTTTACAGTATGCAGTGAAGGAGATGAGAACATGCTACCCCCAAATGTGCCATTTTGGTATACTGATTATTTTGAACTGAAGGTAACTGAGAAAATGCAGATACCCCCTTGCTACCCAAAAGCAGGGCATAACATTTCCAAAGAGAGAGGTACCCTTCTTCACCGTACCATACAGAGAACATTCTTCTCACTGGAGATGAACAGTTATGCCAGAATAAATCTGCATAAACAAACCTAAAATAATCCTTATCTTCTATTAGTGTCTCCCATATATTTTCTATTCAGTTTTCCACAACTTACCACCCTTAGCCAAAACTATGTTTTCCTTTGTCTCGTCATACCTCTACAATTTATCATTCTTTGTTAAAATGGTATGAAAGTGCTCAGGCCAATTTGCTTCTACAGGTCTTAGGCCAATTTGCTTCTACAGGTCTTCATGAAGGCCTGTGTGTACACATAAAAATATTAACATTAAATAAAATTTGTATGCTTGTGCTTTTTTCCTGCTAATCTTTTGTCAGTTTAATTCTCAGGCCCAGCCACAGAATTTAAGAGGGGAGAAGAAAGGTCTTTCCTGCCTTACAGTAGTTTATCTTTTTCTTACTGATTTGTACGCATCCTTTGTATTTGCTAAATTATTTTAGGTTATACAAATTGTGAGTATTTTTTCTAATATTCCTCTTTGTATTTCATCTAAATTCTAAGACATTTAAAATTTTGATGTGATTTTGCTTTATGTGTCTATATAAGGCAGACCTTCCCCATCCCAAGGGGCTAAATATGATTTTCCTTTAATACATGTGTGGTTCAGATTTTCACATTTAGGTCTTTAACCCATTCGAAATTTACTTTTATAATGGCAGGGGCCATTTTTCCCATATCAACAGTTGTAACGTTTATTTAATAGTCTTTTACCCATTGATTTGAATTGTCATATTTATTAATTGCTAAAGGCTTGTATGAGTATTTTTCTGTTTCCGGGTTCTCTATCCTTTCTCACAAATTTAATATCTTATTGACCATGTGCTTCTAAAAACTACACTTTGGACAGGAAATATCCTTGCAAGCAATTAAACAGAAACTTGCTAATGTTATAAAAATATCAATTACAGATTAAAATAAAATGACTACTTGAATATTTATTACACAAATGCTTACTTACACTTATCTGAAAATTATAATAGGACAATTGGTGCATGTCACATTCATACTACTATCCATATAGGAACAAATACATTTAGTCAACTATATCAGGATAATACACAAGGTTTTTGTTTGTTTAGGCTTCTGAGTTGAAAGAAAACATCCAGTAAGGAAAATGAATTTCCAGTGAATAAGTATTAACAATGTAAATAATAAAAATTACTTCTAAACATCTTACATTTTGACAACTTTAAATTATACTTACATACTAATATTTCCAAAAATCGTAAGTTACAAGGGTCACTGTCAGGGTGAAAATATATTTTGAAAAGCTTTTTAAAGATATGTTATTATGTTTAACATCATTTGATTTATTCTTGGCATATGTGGCATCTTGGAAAGTAAAAATACGCTTTGCCAATTTTCTGCTATTGTGCAGATATAAGAGAAAGAGAAGTGTGGGGCAGACAGACCTGTGTTCAGCTTTGTCCAAAACTGTGTTGTATGAAGCTGGTCGATACCTTTCGGTGCTGGGACTAAGACTAAATTAAATAATTCATATTTTAAATGTACAGCATGGGCACTCAATAAATGATATCCGTTACCCAATTTATTCACATTGAAGTAATAGCAAAATATCACAGTCCTATGTTGTGGCACAATTTGAAAAACTGAAAAAACTGGGAAATTAAAAATAATATCAATGTGTTTTGAAAAAATTGTACTTTTTATAAATAAATCCTTTAGCAGGTTTAAATAGTTCCTAATAAAACTTAGTGCCTACTATACCCTGATTTTTTTAAAAAAAGGCCTAAAATATGATAAAAATGGTCAATGGTTAAGGACTTTTGGTTTTCCTTTGTGCTACTGATATAAAAATAATGGCTTTATTTAAGGCTTAGTAAGTGATTGCTTGTAGTTGCCCTGTACCAAATCATTATTCTCAGTGTTGCACTCAGTTGAAACAAACCTACTGCCTTGAATGACGGTTATAGAGAAATGCCCATGATATTCTGTTAATACAGTTGAACCCGTCATGCCCTCCTTTTTGATCGAAGTAAAGGTTCATTTGGTGGCATGTGGCAGTTCAGCTTGTCTCACATTAAGAATGGCTCTTATATACAATCACAAATGAATTTTTCTCATGCTAAATATGTGGTGTTTGGAATATACTGGACTCCTGAAAATTAAATTTATATTTTCACAAGGAATAGACTATTCTAGACTAGCAATGCTTATATCCCTATTCTTAGACCGTTTTGTTTCCTACCCTGACTATCTAACAAGTTCATCCTTCCAAACTTGACTCAAAAGCCCCTCCTCCAGTAAACTCTCCCTAACCAAGGTTCACACCCCTCCATTTATGTCCCTTACACGCATGTGTAATGTATATTAACTTGCAAAAATTATTTATATTTTGTGTGCTTTCAAGTTTTAGCTATAATGTTGTCTTTGACATTTTAAGCCTCCACAGTGTTTAGTGCTGTGCTACTCATGTATATATGTGACTGTATGTATGCATGTCAGGTTGTTTGTGTATGTATATGTTTATGTGTGTATGTGTCAAATGAATAAAAAAACTAAAGAACCTGGGCATCTGTAGGGTAGAAAAGTTTCATAATTTTTCAGAAACCAAAATTGCTGGAACTTCATAACATTAAAAAATCTGATTTCTAAAGCAATTTCAGTTTGGTTTTAGATATGCCAGTAATAAAAAGGCAGTGGGAAAATGGTTTAAAACCCTTCATGAAATATTCTAAAAGGCCTTTTAACAAATTATTATTAGGAGCACCAAACCAAACATTTTACTAAATAGTGGTATAACCTTTTTTAGGACTTTATGAACATAGACTTCTCTATTCAAGACAAAGAATACTGAACAGGAATAGGTGTTGTGAATCAGGATACAAAAGGCAATTCACTCTAAGTCAATAGCTAATGCACATTTGCAGTTAATTAAAAAATCCCTCTGTAGTACATATGCATGTTGAGTAAAAGAATAGTTGTAGATCTTCATAGTTGTTTTAATACTGTAAAACGTAACACAATACTGAAGTATCTATTTAACAGGAAAATTTTGTTTATAATAGCTGTTAATATTAAAATAGGATACAATAATAAAAAATTATTCTCAATGTGTATATTTTCAAATTTGCCTGACAGTGTCCTTTTGAGAAATCTGACAATTTGTAGTTAGATTACAAACATTTGCATTTCACTTTCGTAATTGAAAATATTACTTACATAACAAACAACAATATATAGTAGCTTTTTACTGAAGCACTCTGCAATTTATATTTAAAGCTTTGCAATAAAGCAAAATTCACTGTACTTTTCATAAGTTATATTACATGTCATGTATGTTATAATTACACAAAGAATAAATAAATAAAAGAAGCATAAAAAAATTCAGGACCATAACAATGGAATGTTTTAGCTGTCATTCTCAATGTTACTTTATATGTTTGCATTAAGTTCTAATGTATTTCAAACCCAGGAACCTTTATCTTTAAATAATATACTAAAAATATCAAGTTTAGCCGGGCGCGGTGGCTCAAGCCTGTAATCCCAGCACTTTGGGAGGCCGAGGCGGGTGGATCACGAGGTCAAGAGATCGAGACCATCCTGGTCAACATGGTGAAACCCCGTCTCTACTAAAAATACAAAAAATTAGCTGGGCATGGTGGCGCGTGCCTGTAATCCCAGCTACTCAGGAGGCTGAGGCAGGAGAATTGCCTGAACCCAGGAGGCGGAGGTTGTGGTAAGCCAAGATCGAGCCATTGCACTCCAGCCTGGGTAACAAGAGCGAAACTCCGTCTCAAAAAAAAAAAAAAAAAAAAAAATCAAGTTTAAAGTATAAACAGAATACTCTATATGCCTTTTTTCCTAGGTCATCTAGGAAATAAAACAAGACAAACAGAGGCAAGGACAGGTCTTTCTTTTGCCACAAAATCTCTCTTTGCTTCCTCATAAACCTTTACGTCATTTCTAGAGCACGTATTACATGATGACAGCTTTGGCAAGTATAAGCAGATTTAACTGGCTTCTTTCTTGGAAGAAAGAAAACAACTTCAACAATTTTCTTTTTGGCTTATTCATTCTCAATCTTTCTTTCTCTGATATACAATAGTGGTATAAAAGCACTTCATGAAATGCTCACTATTAATCATTTAAATAGCACAGAATGAATTAATGTATATAATTAATCAAAATATATTATCAGGATAGATACTAGGGTGAGGTCCTAGAATTTGTTACACGTAGAGCTAAACTTGCAAGAGATCGCATGGCAAAAGTAGAAACTTTGTGACATATCCCAGCTTTTGAAATATAGTTGGAAGCCAATCGAAAAAGCCTTTCAGCACCAAAGGTATTGAAGTGCCCAGGAAGCACCTTCTCTACCAGACCTCTGTCCACTAATTCTATTAGACGTTCACAGGTTCCGACATAGTCACTTATCCTGCTGTATGGGAGCCAGTCAATGAGTGATCCATCATACACGACGTCTCCACTGAAGAGAATCTTTCGGTCTTTGTCATGTAAGCAAATGCTGCCCCTGGAGTGACCTGGCATGTGCATAACAGTGAGCTGCCTGTCACCAAGGTTGATCACATCCCCTACAAATGGAAACAGAGTTTACAGATAAACATGTTGTATACTTGTCTTAGCATTTAAAGAATAAAAGAGCATTATATACTTCCAAAGAAACTGGGAACGATGACATTTACTTTATTTCATAACTACCGTATTTCTTGATGATTTAAAAATAAGCTGCCTATATTTCATTCCTATTGTTTGCTAGACCAGTGTTTGCCAAAGCAAGTAAGTGGAACACTACTTCTAAAGGTTATTATGATACATAAATGAAAAGGAGGTAATTCTGTGGTCAAATAATTTGGGGAATTCTCACTTTAAAGAAAACTAGCTTTCTTTTCAGAAAGACATCTTTGAGCTTTTATTATATTAATATATAATATACTGTGGATATACACGAAGTAGATATCGTTGTACAATTTCTCAAACTTATGTGATCATGAAATTTACTTTTCAGAACATCTGTGGTACCAGTATCCTGTTGACACAATTAATGAATGTTGCTCTAGGGAATTTTATTGTATTTTGCCTCTTGTTTTATCTCCTTGTCAGAATTAGGGCTTGAGGAATTGCTATAAATGATTATGCTCTAACGTTAATGCTGTGAGTAATCATCTCTTTCATTTCTGACCCAGGAACCTCGGGTCTTCTGTCAGAATACATTAAATTCTGGCAGGCTAACTTGCAAATTGGTAAAATCTCACCAGAGAGGAAATGGAGCTACATGGGTGCAAAACTGCTCTGTTTCATCGGAATTAAATTAGTATAAACTTGAAGTAAGTCATGGTAAATTAAAAGATTCATACTGTAATCTCTAGTGTAAGCACATACACAGGAAAAAAATTTAAAAATATATAGCTAAAAAATTAATAAAGAAATCAAAACAAGCCGGGCTGGTGGCTCATGCCTATAATTCCAACACTTTGGGAGGCTGAGGCGAGAGGATCACCAGGTCCAGGGATCAAAACCATCCTGACCAACACGGTGAAACCCTGTCTCTACTAAAACTACAAAAATTAATAGGTGTGGTGACATGCGCCTGTAGTCTCAGCTACTCAGCAGGAGAATCACTTGAACCTGGGGGGCGGAGGTTGCAGTGAGCCAGGATCACAAGTCTCCATCTCGGGGGCAGAGCGGTGGGGGGGGGGGGGGCGGCGGTGAGGAATCAAAATGGTGTAATAATCAGGATTTGGTAAACTGGTAAACATAAAAAGGCAGAGATTGTCAGACTAGATTAAAAATCAAGATACATGCAGTCTACAGGAAAGAAATTATAAGTCCAAAGACACACATAGGTTGAAAAGCTTAACCATATTAACTATTACTGATAAGAGAACTAGGGGAGCTATATTAATGTAAGACAAAATTAATTTTTACATGAGGAATATTACTAAAGAAGTAATTTTATGAGAATATTATACATGAAATCAATACATAGAAAAGTAACAATTATAAATGTATATGCATCTAAAACAGACACCAAAAATGCATGAAGCAAAAACTGACAGAAATAAACAATAAACAATTCAACAATTATACTTGGAGAGTTCAATATTCTTTTCTGTGTAATTCATAAAACAAGTAAACAGAAAATCAGTAAGGATATGGAAGACCTGAACAACTCTATCAACCAACTTGACCTGATAAAAATAAAACACTTTACTCCAAAATAGCAAAGTACACATTCTTTTCAATTGCATTTGAAATATTCTACAGGCTATAAAGCAAGAATCAATAAATATAAAAGGAATGAAATCATACAAAGTATGTTCTCTGACCACAGCATAATTAAATTTGAAATAAAAAAAATGAACAGAAAATGGATAACGTGTAGGGTTTTTTTGGTTTGTTTTTTCTGAGACAGAGTTTCACTCTCTTGCCCAGGCTGGCATGCAGTGGGGTGATCTTGGCTTGCTGCAACCTCTGTCTTCCAGGTTCAAACAATTCTTGCACCTCAGACTGGTGTATAGCTGGAATTACAGGTGTGTGCCACCACGTCTGGCTAATTTTTATATTTTTAGTAGAGAAAGGGTTTTACCATGTTGGTCAGGCTGGTCACCATCTTGGCAAATCCGGCCTCAAGCAATCCTCCCTCCCCAACCTCCCAAAGTGCTGGGATTACAGGCATGAGCCACTGCGCCCAGCCTTATAATGTATTTTTAATAGACAAAAAAATAACAAATTAAGAAGAACAAAAATAAATATGTGCAATATTCAAACATATGTAAAGCAAACATCAAAATTCTACAGTTTATGGATAAAAAATAAAAGGAAATATAAAAATATTTTGAATGAATGAAAACAAAATCAAAACATATAAAAATGTACAGAATACAGCTTAAGCAGTATTTAGAAGAAAATTTATTGCTTTAAATGCATATTTTATAAAGGATTAAATGTTTAAAATCAATAATCAAACTTACTATCCTGAGAAGTTAGAAAAAGAAGAAAAAATCAAAAACAAAATAAGTATTAATAGAAATAATAAAGGGCAGAGCAAAAATAAATGAATACAAATAGCAACAGAGAAAAACAGATGAAACCAACAGTTATTTATTTGAAAACTACAACAAAATTGATACACCTTTAGCCAGACAAATCAAGAAAAAAATTAGAGAAGATAACAACTTGCTAAAATAGGAATGAAAGAAGGAACATTACTATAGACTCTAAGGAAATTAAAAGGAGAATAAGGGAATATTATAAACAATTTTAAGCCAACACATTTGACAACTTGTTTGAAATGAACATATTCTTAAAAAGAGAAAAATCATCAGAATTGATTCAAGAAGAAACAAAATCTAAATAAACCTGTATCAAGCAAAGAAATTGATTAACAATTTAACGTCTCCCCACAAAGAAAAGTATGGGCTCAAAGAAGGCTTCATCAATCAATTCTGCCAATCATTTTTAAATGGGACAATTTCAACCCTATATAATTCCAACCCATATAAAGACTTTCAGAATATAGATGAGAAATCTAACTCAATTATTACCTTCATAAAAACCAAAGACAATATATTAAAATAACATCAAAATCAAGCCTGGTATGGTGACTCACTCCTATAATCCCATCACTTTGGTAACATATGGGAGGATTGCTTGAGGCCAGGAGTTCAAGACCAGCCTGGGCAAAATAGTGAAACCTCTGTCTCTATAAAAGTTAAAAATAAATAATAATTTTAAAAACCAAGCAGGATGTTTTGGACCTGTAGTCCAGCTACTCAGGAAGCTGAGGTGGACGGATTGCTTGAGCCCAGAAGTTTGAGGCTGCAGAGATCTATGATGGTGCCACTGAACTCTAACCTGAATAACAAAGACTCTTTCAAACAAAACAAAACAAAAAAGCCTATACACAAATATATCTAATGAATGCAGTCTTAAGATTCTTGACAAAATATTGACAAAGCAAATCCAGCAATTTATAAATAGGAAAATGACCAAGAGGAGTTCATCCCAGAAATATTGTTTGGTTTAACTAGTGAAAATAAATTAATGTAATATACCGTATTAATAAAGGAGAAAGCCATATGATTATCTCAACTGATACATAAAAAGCTCATGACAAAATCCAATTCTCATTCATGATAAAAACTTCCAGCAGACTAGGAATCCTTGGGGAAGGTCCTGAACTTGATAAAGATCACTTATGAACACCTACAGGTAATATCTCTTTGAATAGAAAGTCTCCTAAGATAATGAGGCAAGAATGTCTGCTCTTACCATTTCTATTCAACATTATACTGAAGATCCTAGCCAGTGTAATAAGCCAAGAAAAAGAGAGTAAAGTCACACAGATTAGGGGAAAAAAAGTAAATCTCTATTTAGACATAATCTTAAATACAGAAAGTCCTAAGTAAAGTAGGAAAAAGCTAGAGAAATAAAAAACAAGTTTAGCAATGTCACAGGATACAAGATGAACATAAAAAGATAAACTGTATTTCCATATGCTACAACTGACTATCAAAAATGAATTTTAAAACATTTGACTCGAAATAGCATCACAAAGAATAAAATACTTAGGAAAAAATTTAACAAAAGATGTCTTATAACATATGAACACTGTATAATGAAAACTACAAAAATACTGTCAAAATAAAGAAGATCTAAATAAAAAGAGAGGCTATGCTCACTGACTGTCTCAATATCACTAAGACTCAATATTGCTATGATGGTAATGTAACCCAATTTTTCCAATAGCTACACTGCCTAATAAAACTTTCTGCAATGATTGAAATGTTGATTCGCAATACTGTTCAATATGGTGTGGCTACTAGCACTTGAAATAAAGCTAGTACATTTAAGGAATTAAATTTTTAATTCTAACCAATCTTAATTAATTATTTTTTTAAAGAGATGGAATCTCTGTCACTCAGGCTGAAGTGCAGTTGGCCTGCTTATAGCTCACTATAATGCCTGAACTCCTGGGCTCAAGGTATCCTTCCAAGTAGCTGGGACTACAGGTATATAACAACAGCCCAGCTAACTTAAACACTTTTTTTAGTGACAGGATCTCACTTTGTTGCCTTACTAGTCCCATACTCCTGGTCTTAAATGATCCTCCAGCCTCAGTCTCCTAAGGAGCTGAGATTACAGGTAAGCCACCAAGTCCGGCAATCTTAATTTAAATTTGATAACCATACATGGCTAGTGGCTACTGTAATGGCCAGTAAAAATTCAACATAATCTCAATCAAAATCTTAACCTTTTTTTGAAGAAACTGAAAATCTGACTCTAAATTTCACGTGGAAATGCAAATGACCTAGAATAGCCAATGCAATTATGAAAAGGAGGAATACAGAGGATGTATACTATCTAATTTCAAGAGTTACAATAAAATATTGCTTCTCAGTCTTTTAGCTAAGATCAAGTGTACAATAAAGCTACAGTAATCAAGATATTGTGTTACTGGTTAAATAGACATAATTGATGGAAGAGAACAGAGAGTCTGAAAGTAGACACAGTATTGTCAATGGGTATCTGACAAAGGTCAACCAAGATAATTAAATGTGTAGAAAGACAG